TTTCATCATGAAATCTTCATTGCGATATATTGACACGCTTGTTTTTCAGAGAAAGGCAAAAGTTTGCGAGACAAAAGGCCTGAGAAGACCGTCGATGCTATTCGTTATATAAACTGCGTACCCGTCAAGTTATCTGTTTGACTCTACCCTTAAAGTTGTTATCTGTCGAGGAAGACTGACATCCACTCGCATTGTTAGTTAATTTTTTTATTTCAAAGTAGAGGACGACAATTATTGATTCAGTTTCTGTTGGATGGGACGAATCTCATCAATCCAGCCGTTTTTACATGTACTTGGGTCGGCTGTACAAATTGGGAACGCAAGTACTGCAGCAAATACCTTTGCACCCTGCTCATTTTAGGAGTGGACGTTTTCCACTGTAAATCATACTTTCTCGTCGTGCGTGATTAGAAATGAGAAAGCACGAACCAACTACAATTCATCGTTCGTTGTTGTAACATCGACGTAGTTTAGCCAATAGTCTGGAAAAAGGATGTTTCTTTGCTGGGAAGGTGGTATGATCAAAGCCTTTCATAGTACAAGTTAAATTCTCGTTTGACAAAAAGTGAGACGATTGAGAAATGCAAGTCAGCGTGATAAATGCTATGAATTCTGGAAAGTCAAACCCTGCCTTTTAATGAATTAAAATATTCTATTTTTACCACAAATGACTCTCAGGGAGGTTGGAGGGGGGAGGGGGGGCTATAGAGGGCGCCATGGGTGTCAATTTAAGGGGAGGGGGGGCTATAGTTGGCGTCATAGGTCTCCATTTAAGGGGAGGGGGCTATAGAGGGCACCATGGGTCTCCATTTAAAGGGAAGGCGGGGCTGTAAGAGACACCATGAGTCTCCATTTCAAGGGGAGGGGTGCTATAGAGGACACCATGGGTCTTTCAAGGTAGGGGGGCTGTAAAGGAAAGCAAGGGTCTCTGGACAAGGGTGGGGGGGTATAAGCAGAAGCTGTCACCTTCATTCATTACGGTGGGTCCCGAGGTTGTATAATAGTTTTGACCACTTCCCTTAGATCGTTTAATCTGAAAGTTCATTTTCATGCAACCCAAACTCATTTTAATTCATAAGAAAAGTTTCGCACGAGTACTCGTTTGGAAACAAAGGTCTGGAATGGCCTATTGGGATGCAAATGTGAATTGATTTGTCCGAAAGGAAAATTCATAAGTTAAGCAAATCGTCTTGAGAGCTAGTCCAAAATTGCTAAACTGGATACAGTATTTATGAACATAAAACCTGCTTACCATATGCTTTTAGCTACCTGTCTCAGTTTCGCATCACAGACATTCTGCAAATTTCCACCTGCATTCTTGGAACTCAGCTCAGTTCTAATGGTTCAAAATGGACTTTGAAGTCGTCAAATCTCATTCGATATTTCGCCTCGGGATTTTTGTCTACCATTTGCGCAAACCGTGAAGGAATTCGCTTCCCCGAGTAAACGGTAGACATGGATATGTAATTGGCAGCCAAGCTTGGAACAGCAAGGTGGCCTCCTCCATGACTGGATAGGGAGTTTTAGCAAACCACGGAGGCGACGGCAACGAGAACTTCACGAAACAAAAGGTTTGTGAGAAAAACAATAGCTGTGCACGTGCCTTTTGAATCTTTGTACATTTCTCTGCCGTCCTCTGCAAAACAACAACGTGAAATGACCAAGTTCTATGTATTTGGAGAACGCGAACCGCAATGGCTAATTAATTTTTTTATGGTATCTTCTTTATGAACTGAACGCTGTAGGTGCATGTTTAGCCTGAGCAAATTTTTAGACCGATAGGCGTATTGAACAGATTTACCGAGTTGCGACATTTGAAGGAAAAATATAAAATCATTTTTTACACGGCCTCGTCCCCGCCGTCGCCGTTGTCATTGCTAAATCTCCCTGATGTTCATTAACGCGGAACCCTCGCGTTATAATTACACCGTCACCAGAACCTTTATCGTAGTTCTCAGCAGTTCGACAAAATGCAAACGAATTTAGTATAATATAGTATAATTAAGTCATTCATTTTAAAATGCTGTGATGATACATATTTTTTTACTTTTCCTGGGCATTTCACTTTCCAATGGTAATCATGTCGGTTCAAATAATGAAATTAAAATTTGCGGTGCTCCAAGTCCCATCTATATTCATCAGAATTCCTAGCTACCTGTGGTGTTTCTGAGCCTTTCCATGGCGGCATCAACCACGTAGAGGCTATCCCTGGCACCGCTAGTCTTGCTGTATTCTCCAGTCTGTTCATCCCATCAACAATTGTTTGGAAGACACAGTGGAACTGCACACTGTTCAGACATCTTGGAGTTGAAACAAACCTGTTATCTCTGCTGCAAAAGCAAATTAAAAAGCAAGCAGTTTTCCCTTAGTCTGAAAAGTAGTGCTGTGTCAGCAACAGCTTAGAACTCAGCGGAGTGTCTAGGAATATTTCGATATCGTGACAGGTACGACATATATGCGACCAGAATAGCTAGCGTGACCATTGATGCGTACGTCACAGATTTGTTTGCCTTGAGGTTTTCTGGGAATTAAGAAGGTATTTGTACATGTTATTGGTCAAGGCCAAGATCTAGAGAACAGTGCATGCCTTATTCGTTTAAGTAAAGTAACAGAAGCTTATGTTGTATTAATTAAGACTGATCCTGGCAGTATTGGAGGAAAACAGTTCGAGGCGAAAGGAATGGACCTGTGTCATTTTGTCGACCTCTTTTTTCTAATATATTATGTCACAGCTATTTTTATGAATAAAATATTATCTTACGAATTACAATTACCACTTTGACTAGACATGTTTCAACTAAAAGCAATGCAGAGCAAACTGAGCATAGCTAAAAGTCGACTTACGGGAAAGTCTGAATAAAAACTATTTAAAATTACTTTTTACACGCACCAGTGCATAGCCGAGATATCTATACGCTACATTTCTAAGCTATACTAGCTTTTAGCATGCCGTGCTCGTGATTTTCTTTGGGACATCATTTCATTGTGTGTATCCATGCGTACAATGTATCAATCCAATTCTGATCCAACGTTACTAATTCTATATTTTGGTGTAATCGCGTTGCAAACCAGGAGTGGATCGAAACCCCTCCATTGTCAGTAACGGACCTCTTAAATATCTGCAAATAGTTCTAAAAGTTCGCCTGCTAAACCCAAAACGCTTGTGACCAAATAAAAATACGGTGAGTGGCAAAACTGAGCGGAAAAAGCGAGAGATCTGGCTTACTTACCTTTGATCGATCGCCGATTTGAAAACGAAATAACCACCAAACAAATTGGTCGCTGTTTTAATTCACATGCGCCGTAATGGCATTTCTCAGTTCCCAGAATGTCGATGTCGTAAACAGGAGAACTTTCACTTTCGAAGATTCGTGCACAGATGAAAGTGATTTGAGAATAATTCTGGGATATTTCCCCGAAATGCAGGGAATTTTCCCATGATTTTTGCTTTCGATTTCGGTGCGATAAATAACTTAGGGAAAGTTCATTTAATGTGACAAAGTGGTGAAGGGGAGGGGGGGGGGGAAGGGGGATGAAGATATTGAAACTCGAAGCTTGAAATTTTAGTAGCCCCCCCTCGCTAGCGGTTCAATATTTTAGGAGCCCCTCCTAATTTTTTCAGAGCCCCCCTTTCGGGTGTCTAAAATTTTCGGAGCCCCCCCTCAATATCTTCACCCCCAACCCCCCTTCTCATATTAAACGAACTTTCCCTCAGTTATTTATTTATTTATGCAAACCGGAAATAACCAATTTCTCGGAATAGTCAGCGGTGGCCGGAAAAGTTTCGTTTTCGTAAAAGCTGTGCGGTGGTGCGTCCATTTGATTTCGTATAAAAAGGTAAGAATTGCTTTGATTAGGTTTTTGCTTTCAAAATTTGGATCGCTGAGGTTATAAACCTTGCACCCAAGCAACAGACATGCTAAATTGGTTCCCTTCTTGAGTTTTTGCTACAATTGCAAAGTCTACTAGGAATACAAAATACAAATGGGCACAGACAGCATAATCGTTCTTGTGTTTGGATCTCGCACTTAATAACTACGCATTCTTACCCATATTTTAACGGAAAGGAGAATTACACACAAGGCATAGTAGTTAAAAGAGCAATTATTGGAAATTTCGTTCTTCTGTTTTTGTTCCCACCTCGTCTAAAACTGCAGTGGAAAGAATGCCATTGACGTCTAACAGTTTCTGCCTTTTTCAAAAGTGGGGAGAATTAAAATTCAATTCAGAAATTATGCAAGTTATCATTCCACAGTTCTATACGAGCGCGATAAATTTGGCGCAACGAAGTAATAGATTTTATTATTCGATGTGAACACGATGACAGTGGAAGCGGAAGCAAATTAAACCTCAATTAAGAAACATTTTCACTTCTGTGTTTGCTTTGTCAGGAAGTAAGCAAAATGCAAGTTGCCACAGAAACTTAAATCATATTTTTTTCAAATATCAATGTATTTTAGAAAAGCTTATAAACTTTGGCAGTGTTGTTTTGAGTATTGTGAAATATTTCTCATGATTGTGTGACACGCGTGACAGTTTTTAAAACACTTCATGTGGATCGAGTGCTGATATTTTAATCTTGTACCTAATCTTTTTTAAGTCTAGAAGATCCCATATCCTGTGCCACTCGGTCAATTCTTAATTTGTTAAGATCTATGATGTCCCATTCTCATAAACCTAGAGGGTTTGACCGTATACATAAAAAACCGTGAGTGCACGAAGGGTAGAACCTAGAGACTGAACTATACTAAATTTAAACTTAATATCCTTTTTCGATCTCTCCTTAATGGATTACTTTAGCTGTAAGAATGTCAGAAAACTGTGCTGTTCCACTGTGTCTTCCAAACAACTGTAAATGGGATGAACAGACTGGGGAATACACGCGAGATGAGGAAGAAGAGAGGACCGGCCTCTGCGTTATTGAGGCTGCTTTGGAGCGATTGAAAAATGTGAAAGGTAGCGGTGTATAAAATATCTTAAAATATCTTAGTTTGTGCATAATGTGACCGGGCAGAAGAACATCTGAATTCTAATGTAGAAATTGGTGCTGACTTATGATTAATTAACTGGAGATGAAGACGTTCCCAAGAAAAAAAAAAGAGAATTAATCAAATGCATCTGCATGCAAGGTTGCTAGCGCTCGGTCAGTTAATCGTCAAACCGAATGTAAACAGGAACATAAATTTGGATCACACATACAAGTTCCTTCAAAACTGCAAAAAAAAAAACAGGCACAACTTCAGAATAATTCGCTTTAGCTTTTCTTGTAGCTTAATTGCAATTGCGATTCCAGAATAAAACCTAGGCCACGGTGAATCAATGTATTCCGGCATTCCATTTAGAAAACAACGTACAGACATGGTCACAAAAAGCGTTTGGAGCAAAAAGGTCATTGATGCTGCCATTTGCATTTAATAAGCTTGTAATATTTAAAGCTAAGAAAAACCTACCGTTAGTATGTAAGCTCCGAAACGTTTTGCAGCTCTTAGTAAGACAGAACAATGCCAAGAATACACTTGACTGATTTCATTTTGATATTCTGTTTCAGGCCCTGTTTGTGTGGTGTCCATTGCAGGGCCTTGTAGGAAGGGCAAATCCTATATCTTAAGTAAAGCTTTTGAACAGGGAGAGGTTTTCCCCCTTGGTCATGAGCTGGACCCTGAGACAATGGGAATATGGATGTGGATTGTGCCTGAAAAATTCCAGGTATATATATTGTCATTATTTAATTAAGGTGGTTTAATACACAAGTATTTAAATTAAAGGAAACTTTTAATCCTTTGTTTGGAAATTAAGAACACCTTGCGGTAAATCAACTCCGAGACATTTTGGCAACTAAAACAGCTTTCAATTTTAGGCGACGGCACAACAGAGTACGACCCGCTTATTGACCGATCACAGCGTCCATAGTAACTGAGAGGTTAAACAGCTGTCTCATTTATCGCAGGACGCTAATGGACTGGAAGTCACAGTTGTGTTACTGGACTCGGAGGGAATCGATGCTGTGTCAGGAGAAGGCGCAGATGATCACTGTATATTTACACTGACTATTTTACTGTCTTCAATGCTGATTTACAACTCAGCCGGAGTACCAACCAGGACCGACCTAGATGGACTCGAGTATCCTTAATAAAACTAAAAGTGATTTTTGACCATCTACTATCTATAGCTTTCATTGTTTTGGAAACATTGTGCAAGAAAGTCGTTTAAAAGTAAGTTATAGCCCCTGTTGGAATATTTTTGTATGTTTGAATATTTTTATATGTTTGATCTCCCTCAGAGTGTTTGACACTAGGCGCGAGAAATTTTTTAAAGGAAGTATGCCTTTACACTGTTTTTGAAGTGACAAAGAATTGTCTTGATACAAAGTTAATAGAAGACATGGAACAAAACCTCAGTCAGTCATTTTCTTATTTTGAGAACCTCTTTGATGAGGTTACTGCGTTAAAACGGCCAGAATTTTGTGGCGCGTAGCTGACCGGATTAACTGAAGCTCGGAATGAATTGGCTTTCACAGAGTTGCGACTGTATGGTTTTCCTTCCTCTGACTTTTCTCAGTGGCTTCTGCGTAAAAAGCGTTTCAACATGGTTGACAGTTCTGCCGGCTCCATGTTTTCAAGTGCGACTGCAAGTTTTTCTCTCCTTCCTCTAAAGTTGGACGTGAACGGTTGGTCTATTTTATAGTTAGTAATCACAGTGTATTAAATCTCTATTTTATAAAATGACTCGGCTTAAATTTGCGTAGGACTACGTTTGATCTACTCGTGACTTTCTTCACCTTCAAAGACATTGATAGCATGTTTTGGTGACTTTTTTGTACTTTCCGGAACAGCACTTGCCATCAGCTTTTTAATGTCACTATCGCTAGACTCAGTAACACGAGTTTTGGTTTCCTTCTATGTTAACTAAGGGAAAAAAAAGTTAAAATTCTTGCGCTGACTATGTTTCTCCTCGACGGAAACAATCGGAGGACAAATATCGACTCGGGCGGGGGTTATTGCGTGATAACTGTCCGGCGATTTACACCACGTGACGTAAAGTAGCCAATAAAATCACTCGAAAATCAATGGGTGGGTTATAAGATATACATATTCTCCAATTTTCGAGACCGTGCATGTTGCGAAAAGTATTAGAAGGATGATATAATAGATAGCTTCCATTTGGCGGGAAAGTATGCTCGGATATTTGTCCTTTGACATTATCTCGTCCAAAAAGTTCACAGTATTCCTCGAACTTTGCTCTCAGAAAATTGTTCGCTTTTCGGAACGGATGTAAAATATCCGAGCTTGTAATCCATCAAATATTTTCCCTTCCACGCGATTGGTCTAAACGCGTCACGCGACCAAATATTCCCCAGCTAAAATATTCCACAAATTGCAAACCGGCGCGTGTTGCAAAAAAAATATTTGAAGGATAATAAACACAAACCTCCATTTGGCATAGTAATATACTGGCATATTTGTCCTTGGACATTATCTGTTCCTCAAAGCTCAGTTTTCCTCGAGCTACGCTTTCGGAAAACTGTTCGCTTCTCGGAACAGATAATGTCCGCGGACAAATATCCCAACATATTTTTTGCGCCAAATGGAGGCTACTGTTTATATATTTTCGCCCCAATTAAAGGCTATTGCTTTGATGTTGAGTGCATCGGAATCTCTGGGATATGAGCAACAAGCTGGTTCAACAGGAGCTGATGCTCAACTCCTATAAGTGTATCATAGAGGTGACTTGAAATACCACTACACATGCCAAACTACCCTCACCGCAAAGCACGACTACTGAGATAAAGCTTAACTTCATAGCCCAATAAAAGATCAATTTAGCATTAATCAATAAGTTTTTTAAAGTTACAGTAGAGCACAACAATGAGAGCTCGTAGAGCTTGCAATAATGTTGCGTAGTTCCATCGTTTTCTTCCATAATGACTGTACCGATAATAAAGTACTGTGTGTAACTCCCTTTTTTAGACATCAGAAACTTCAACGGACTCCAGGATAGTGAAACGTAAGTAAATATGTTTTTTATGTATAGTCTTTAGTCCGGTGCTCTATTTGTGAAACAATCGCTCTATTTCCTGCCAAAGTCATACCATTTCACCTGCGCGTGCTTTTCAATACGGTGTTGAGACACAACGTAATAATCTTTTACTTTCTCTTCATGTATGTAGACACGAATCTGCTCTCTACCGACCATGCCAAGTTGTTAAGTCAAGACGTTGTGCTGTTACTGAAGCATTTCTGCTTCCGGCTCACCGCTGGACCAAGGTAAGGAGAAATTTCGATCGTTTTACTCGATGTATAGAGCAAGAAGGCGAAAAAAAAATAATAATAACAAAATCATCACTGAATACTGGCGTAATTATGTGGTTCTGAGTTTTGAGTTTGCAAATGAAAGCTTAGCGTGTGGCCATCCAAATGACACTTTCTAAAAAGCACTTTCGCCTTGAATTGTCTGTTTTTTCCTTCTCCTGCGCAGTAAGATCCGACATTTCGTTTCCAGTTGAGAACTTTCGCGTCATCCGCAGTGGAAATGATAACTCAAACAATTCAAACAAAAGCGGCACTTCATGACAAATTTTACGTTGAAACATGGGAATCTATGTGTCAGTGGTGAAAAAACTGGACTTGTCCATACAACATAATTTGCGTTTTTGGCTTTTTAAGTTATACTTAGCTAAAGTTTTTTTTGTGGTAAAGCCTGCATATGTTTAGTCATATTTCCTCTATGCGCACTACAATAAAACAGTGTGATTGTCCCGAGGAGAACATTGAAATTTGAGGCACAACAAAAAGCAAATTTTCGTAATTATTGAATGTATTATTCTCATGGGTATTAGGACGAAGAATTTACGCCTACTTTGGAACAAAAAATACTGAAGGTCGTAGAACAAAAAAAAAGCAGTTTATGAAATCAAATTCTTTACAAGTGAATTGACAAACTACTCGAAAAGACCGTTAAAGTAATTGTAACTTTTCATTTACACTGTTTGGGTAAAGCTTTGAACAAAAATTAGATACGGATACAAAGGCTAAATTTTCTATGGAATGTTGTTAAAGTTGTCACCCTGTGTGGTTTTGATTGCGAAAACATGAATGTGATTTAGTCGTCAAAGGGTAAAGCACTCATGTAATTACTTAGTTTTTAGTCGCTCAGTGAGGAATCACTGTCAGTGGAAAGAATAACGCCCAGGTACGAAACACTATAGAAATAAATTGAATATTCATCCTTCAAATTATAGTTTTCTAAGCATCAGCATGAGAAAACAGATGCACCGACTTAATGTTTTTGAGGATATTATCTGTTTGCTTTTCGTTGTCCTTCAGTTGCCTCTAATTTCCATTTGATTGGAAACCGTTAACATATGTCAAAAGACTGGAAAAGTTATTTTACGTCAAAAAACGAAAACAGTGTCGGCGTTTTTCTGCCGCTCTGTTTGACTGGTAAAATTCGATCCAGATTCTTTGTCGATGTTAATTCTCTCATGTAAAATGTTTGTTGTGAAGTTTAGCGCGAAGCTAAAGAAAACGGCTCTTTTTAAACAATGTCAACTACTAATTTCTTCCGACTACCAACAATCCAATTGAAAAGAAAAATACTAAGAAACTTTTAATCTTAGGGTGTGTTCGGCAAAATCTTCGGAAGAATCTCGAAATTAGTTCAGAAGATAACTTTCTTTGGAAATTAGCAATTTTCGGATCTTTTTGGGGGTATGATCCGGCTTTAGGAGTCTCCGGGATCTTTAAAACTTTATGCTTTTATTTTGTTTGGTGAGTTTTCCATGGCATTTCCCTTCATGAACATGGACAACAATCGTTGTTGATTCTTGTCCTAGTGTGCCGGTGCAAGGCGGCCAGGCCATTCCATTGTACCTGGAGGCCATCTTGGTGATGCTAAGCAGCCTGTCGACAGCCTTACAACAGGAGAAGGAGTTTATAAACGTCATCTGGTGAGTTCAGGAGCAAGCCGCCGTTTTCCCTTTCAAACAATTAGTATTTGCTATTGTTCAAGAAGCAGATTGTTTGATTTTGTATAACATTTTCGAAAAACGACACGAAATCGTATTAGGAAGTGAGGACACTAAACGTTTGCTTGTATTGATATGTAAAATCTGGCAGATAGACTCGAAAACCGAACAAGCGTTTACAACTTTTAATCAAATAAGTCCCATAAGCGAAAAAGCGTCATAAATTACTACGCTCTCTACAGTATATATATATGCACGTTTTTCAGTGGATAGAGATACAAGCAACGAAAATGACTCTCCCATCAGATTTACTGACCTAACACCAAAAAAACTTAAGACAATCGTTTAATAAGGCTCCCAGTTTTATAATTTGCCTTATGATGATGATGAATGCATTTTAAAACAACTGTTTCTAGCTCAAACAATATTTATATTACCAAGAAGAAAGATACTGAGAATAAATATTGTTTCCATTTGCTTTATGCCGCAAAAACAGCAAAATCATGCAGAGATATTCATTTTTCAAAGAGTAGGTACTTCCTTTTCATAACAGCTATCACCTGTGTTTTGTTTAGTCTAGATTCTCTGTCAGTGAAGTAAAACAAATTAAAACAGTAGAGTAGAAACAATAAAAATGAAAACAAGGAGGTAACATCTAACGTATTTCGTGAAAAAAAAGTTTCTAAATGGCACAATGTAAGAATGCAAGCAATATCATGTTATAAAAGATTAGAACTCGCTGTAACCAGGTTAAAAAGAACAGGAATCTCCGTTTAAATCATTTCTGGTCCACGAAGCTACCACACGTACATCACACAATGGAATAGATGAAACGTGGCGGGTGATACGAAATTGTTTAACAATTTGATCAAATTAATTTTACCTCTAAGTGAGTAAACGCTGCCTACTGTATGTTCAGTGACACAAAAGGTTCTTCTGTAAAGTTTTAATATTTCAACAAAAAAATTACAAGACATGAAATTCGCGCACGTCTAAAATTTTGCAAGTTTTGTTTAAGTGGCAGAGACTAAGTAGTCAATGTAACCTACTTTACAAGCAAGAATTTTTGTTTACGTGCGTGCACAAGTCACGTGGTACAAGACATAGGGAGCTTAACTGAAATGAACTGAGCCTACTCTGACAACACATCACTTATCCAACCACCCTGTTTGACTGCTGTCCTGTTGTCACGATTAAAACTAGGTTCTTTGTGAACAGAAAAAGCAACATCAAGAGAATTGCGTGCAACGTAAAATTGGCCAAGATATTAAGTAAAGTGACAACCAGACGATCACTGTCTGGTTGTCAACGAAACCTTGTTAAAGTCCAGGAATTTTTTCATTTGTCATTTGTTTTCCATGAAGCTACCATGTTAGCACCTGATGCAATAGCCCCGACATATATTGAATGTGTCAGAGCAATCCTCCTCATTTTCAGTCAGGACAAGGAGAAGGCATTTGCTTAACTTAGTACACAAAAGGTTGGTATTGAGGGAAGAAGCAAAAAGTTAGTTTCTCTTTTTTCAATGTGGCGGGCTCAATTTTACCCTTTTCGCTAAAGTAGTTTATTCTTAGCTACCTTTTCGTCTAGATTTTGGAAGCGGTTGTTGAATCAAATTATTTTCCGTAGTCTTGTTTTCTTCTTTTAGCTTCACTGATCTTGAAGAGGAAATGAAGGTAGCCTGGACCGTTTTTCTGCTCTTGCTTTTGTTCGCTACCACCATGGATGCTAGAAGAAAGGATGGAGGAAGGAGGTCATATAATTATGGAGAAAATGATTGCACTCCGTGTCAGGGTAAGTTAATGATGAGCGGTAGTTCATCGGTACGTCCTGAACCTTTACCGTAATCGAAAAAGTTGCGCAGGTTTATCAGGCAAAATAACAGTGTATATGCGAGCTCGGGGAGTTCAGGTTTTAAGACGTTCAGAAGTTATCAAAGGCAAAAAACAAACAAACAAACAAATCGGTACTTGGGACTTTCTTAGCCTTGCAAAAAATTCGAGACTGCGAGGCGTTCATTACAGCTACAAAAACAAGGCTGCGAGCTTGGTGCTATTGGAAAACCGCAACAAAGTTAGCCAAGTATAGGGCAATAATATACCTAAATGAGCAATTTGATTAAAGCGTTACTAAAAGATCTTGGCGGGGCGATATTTTACTGACTACGAATTTTATTTTGTTTTTGAAGTCGACATTTATTTATGATTAAAATATGTTTTCAAATGTTTCTGATTTTCTGGTCTCACTGACACGTTCTCTTTCAGAGTACCAACTGAGATTTAAAGAGCGCACCACCACAGACTACGCGATTTTAGAAGACTCGATCGTGTATGATCTAGATGCAGCTACAGTGTGCTTTTTCGCGAAAGACACAGATAGCAACAAACCCCCAAACGAATATCAATGCGTGTACAGCTACGCCGTTTCTGACCAGAACAACGAGCTCTTGTTTTGCACATCTCCCGTTCTGCGAGTTTTAGTTGACGGAGTTGGAAGGTACCTAACTTGTATTGAAGCGATGCTTTCCGTTTCTTAAGTTCTTTATTATCAAAACAGTTTTAAATGGATTCAATTGTTTGAATAACACAGCTGCTTCTTAAATTCAAGGATTTCAACAAGTTTATCCAAAGAGTATTGACACATATTGGCTCGATTGTAGACTTTCTCAAAGTCCGTTTTTGTCTCCCCGTGACTTCCTCGCTCGTCTAAAAAAACAAAGACTTGGGGCAAGTCTAGCTCGATTGTCACCTCAGTAGTTAGGGCCTCCTCCTGAATACATGTGCCTCGGAGAACTTTAGAAAAGCAACAACCACCTGTTATTTTGGATTTGTATTTGACGAAAACTCGGTCAGGAAAATCCCGTCATCATTGTGACGTCATCGTTTCTAAAAGCTCCGTTTTCGAATGTCTTCCCTCCAAACAAAAACGAAAAGCAGACGTTTTCAAATTCCACCAATTTGAAGAGCGTTTACAAAAAGCTAGGCGCAGTAGAAACAACGCTGCGTTTTCGAATTTCTCCAGAGTATTGTGGACGCTTAAGGTGGCCGAACACAGTTTTCAAGAGCCTATGCCTAATTCACCATAACTTTTAAACTATTTATGCTTTGGCGCCCATTTTTTGCAAAAGTCTAGATTAATTACAGAAGTATTTATTTTCGCATTTTGACAAGGGTGCATGCTGTTGCCATGGCAACGGGGCTGGTAAAAAACAAGGCTTAAATAATGGTTTTTGTTTATTCAAAAAAAGTCCAGTCGTTAGATTGTTTTCATCTTTTGCACTCTACGAGGTGACATTAAATCCTTTTTATCAACACTGTTCTAATAAAATTTTGGCATAGCCGATTTCCGTAATTCGCCGTTAATCGTTTCCTGTATTATTAAAAATTCCCTTGTCAAAATTCAGATTTTTTGTGATAGATCATTCACGTGGTCTCTGATCTAGTTTTTTGCCAAATTTCTTGAAATTCTAACGACTGGATCGCTAGAAAACGGCGCGTTTCTGCTAAAGTAATCGGTCTCAACTTTTCGAGCAACTGCGCATGCGTTGCATTTAACTGTGTTCTTTCGGTAACAAATAAAAGCTAAAAATGCTGGGTACTTTGCATCGTTACCTTTTGTAACATATCGTTGTAATAAAATACTGAAGCCATCAATACACTGCATGCAATTATAGAGAAAAATAACACAGATAGTGCGGGTGTTGAGCAAATAAAATGATCGCTCTGTTGACAGCATGTTTGTTTTTTGAAATCCTTGTGCACGTGCTAATTTGCATCAGCAAAAGCGCGCGCTAAAACTGTGTTCGGCCACCTTAAGGACGTTCGCGCCCATTGCTACTGCGCATCTCTTGTGCGCACGCTATACATGACGTGGCGAGTGCCACTTCATGTATTTCAAGCGCGCGCACCGAGTCGAAACTTAACAAAATATAGAGCTGATGACCTTTGCGGTAACTTAATCTGCGAATATTTTTGTTGGATGCTCGGTGACACCCACTTTTTTTTCGGCAGATCACTTCCTTTTCTGAGTCTTTCTATTAGACTAAAAAACAAAAAAAATCTGTGCATGGGAAGTTTTAATTATTTCTCATATACTATTCAAATAGGCTCGAATTGGTACATGGATACAGGTGAGTGCGATTTAGAAGTTGCCTGTTTTAAGGCTAATTCTACTTGAGTTAATGACATAGGTAGCAAAGATCTATCAAATAGGCCTATATATGCTGTGTTAAACACACATTACTTAGATATGATTCTTCAACTTAAATATATGCCGATAGTAATGAATCTGGCCAGAATCGCCTCCAGTGACTGTTAAAAACAAACAAAATTGAAATTTGCAGCTGTGTACGCGCTCATCAGTTTTTTTCTCTTTCCACATTTCCAACTCTTTAAGTCAAATCAGGAAGACTTTACAATTCGTATTGACGATACCTCATAGAAGCAGAAAACCGCACAACAATTTCTACAGCAAAGAGTTCATATATGTCGCTTTCACAACAAGAAAGAAACAGGAAGTCATTCTTTATACTATACCACACTGCCGTCCAATTATTAATTTGACATAACACATTTCTAAAAGAGATCTTTACTGAATTAAAGCTTAATTAAAACAGTTGCGTTTTGTGTTACCCATCAGGCACTGAAGAAATTATCATGATGTTTGAAGTATACAACAGGGAGTGTTTTCTATATTTGGTTACGAAACTAAATTCCGCTGATTGAGAAATATAGCTAGGTAGGCCAGTTAAAGTCTGTATGCGAGCGCATGACTATGTCTACTCCCCCCTTGGATGGGATGCCAGTCCATCAGTTACCCCCTGCATTAAGTTTTCTGGTACCCATGCATGCTCCTGGTAGGAGAGAACACGACATAATGTCCCCGGTCAGGGGCCCGTTTCTCCAAAGACCCGATAACGTAACGGGCCCGAAATCACATTTTGAAATCAAAGTCTCAAGAAAAGTAGAATGTGTTCTGACCTCTAATGAATTCAATTTGTTTCTTTAGCTAATAGCTTTACTGTATAATTTTCAAAACTTTTGAAACTCTCATCTGGAATGGAAAAGAAAACAGCTTTAAAACAAGCCCGATAATTACCGGGAGCTTTGAGAAACGGGCCACAAGACTGGAATCAGGACTACTCAATCCGGAGACCAGCGCACCAACCATGAGGCCACTGTGCCTCCGACATTGAGAGAGAATTCTCTATGGAATAATTCTCAATTACACTGCTAGGAAAAGTAACAAAAAATAAAAGCTATACTATTGACATTATTGTAAGTTAATCTTGACTCGAAATCACGCCGGAAGTTTGTTTTTCTAAGTCTCCTGGATTTGTGTTTGAGGAAAACCCCTGATTATCGTCACGCCATTGTTTTTGAAAAGCTCCATTTTGAAAATCTAAATCTAAATCTAAATCTAATTAGTATAAATTTACCGTAGTCTATTGTGAATCCGTGAATTTGATTGGCTATATTATCGTCAACGAGGTGTAGCCGAGTTGACTATCGCTCGTAGAAAACGAGGGCGAGTAGTCTATAATTGTTTTAGTATAAATTTACCGTAGTCTCATTGCATAAAAAGGAAAAAATGTCAAGTAACACGTAGAAAAGAACTGTTTTATCATGTTACATCAGGTTCAAACATGACGCGCCAACTCTAAAATGCTAATACATAAAACTATACTAAAATAAAATATACAAAATAACAGTAAAAATAACAGTGAAAATGAAAAGTCTGTGTTTTCAAATATATTCGTCCTCCGGTTTGAAGAGCATTTTCGAAAAGCGCCGTCTTCGTGACGATTAGCTTGGACGGTAGGCCTAACCGGAGAAAGAAAGCTGTATTTTCAAATTCCTCCGGCGTGGTGTAGATTCTGCCTTCTATCCTCAGTAATCAAGATTAATCTTTCTTTTTCACGTTTATTACTCCTTTACATAACACTCTCAATACCGGTGTTACATTCAGGTCAACTGATCAGTTCTCTATAATTAAAACAAAATCTCCTACTTCAAAAGAGATTTTTTTAGATGGGAATTGACATTATTTGAGCCAATGGATTTACACGTGTTAGGTTTTTAGCGTCGGCCAAGTATATCATGGGTGATTCAAAGCAAGGAGAGTGTGATTAAGTTTGGTTCTACTTATGTCTTTTCGTCATAACAGGAAATATCTAAGTTTAATACTCGTTTAAACGCGTTACAAACCTTAATATGCTTTTAATATGCTATCTCAAGCGAACAAAAGATTTTTACCTATTTGGGAGTGTTGCGGTTCATCAAAAATTTCAAAAGGGCGAAATTGCAATTTTCTCAAATTTTGATCAGCGTTCATGCAAAACGGCTGGTAGATCACACAAAATGAAACTGAAAACCTAAAATTCATTGACCGAACTGTCTTTGGCTATAATATCAGAGGATTTGAAGCCCTAACGATCAGCTATTTTTCCTCACTAAATTTGCATAACTTTAAAGTTTTCTTTTACCAGAAAAGTGTGCCTCCGGGCTCCGTTCGCTTAGAAAACTCAAGAAACGTGAAAAATCACTATATCTTGATTAAGGAACAATCAATGTATGCCTTTAATGTTGAGAACGTTTCATAGCCATGCAAACGTCTGTGCAGCAATAAGTTGAAATTTGTAAATTTTGGAATATCGCAAAGTGTAATTTGACCTTTCAGTACAAAGGCCGTTTTACGTTAATTTCTGCCGTTGTATTAGATTTCCTAGAAAACTAACTCGATTTCCTTCAGTTCCTTACCCAGGCCTTCAAACTGGCCAAGTATGGGCAAAATCGATTTTTCCACCCTGGTTAAGATTTCTTTGATTTTTACTGGCAATTACTCTAAGACCTGATGACGCAGATATTGTTGTCTTCCAGAAATGTTATTTGAACATACGGCTAGTGCCGTTTTTTTTTTTTTTTGGCTTGTTTTGTCGCTTAGAGAAAAGAAAAATTTTATACGGTTCAGTTAAAAACACACAAAAAATATGTTCTCTTCAAAATCTCAGCCTCTCGTTTATTCTAAAAACATTTAAAAAATGTCCCAACTTTCAGCCCCGATATTCTTACAAAACATAATATAATCTTATAAAAAAAGAAACAATATCTACCTCGCTTCCGACCGACTTTGGTCACGTGTATATAAGGCATCAAACTAATTAATTTGGCATGTTTTTACCTACTGGCTGTCAAAACTAAATATTTGTTTTTACTCGGAAACGCCCTACTGAAGAAAGAAAATTGTCTTTTCTCAGTGTAAACAACTAGTCACGATCAACCCTACGATAAACTGAAGGACTGAAGGAGACACACGTCAAGGACGTCAAGGTAAAGTTTCTTTACTTTTGTTATTTGAAAATTGCCACCAGAGATCTTCAACTACTAATTCACATTTCTGTCTGACTAAACGAAAAAGGTCGGCTAAAGCTTCTTCCATCAATATTTGTACATCAGCAGTCATAAAGCCGGCAAAATAAGAAAACAAAAAAATTGAAAACTACAAAGTTAACTTGGCAGCCGAAGTTAAAATTTGTTA